TACATTTAAATGATTAGCAAAGTTTTTTTTTTTTTTTTTTAAATACTGTTATTGACATTGTTGCTGTTGCTACTGTTGCTGTTCTCTTTTCATTAGAAACAAATTGGATTTCAACCCACAAGAGCTAATTGGTTATTTTACATTATGTTTGGAATGTTGAAGGTTATTGATTAACACTGATCAAATCCTGATTCTCCGCCTTTTAAAACACACCATGTGTAATTGCTATCACTTGCTGGTGTTAATAAACTATGAAAAACAAAAAAAACAGTTGATTGCACAGTAGTTAAAAAGCGATTATTAATGATGACTTTAAAAAGAGTCAATAGTCTAAAGTGTACAAATTCTTGCAATTCCTCAAATAATCTTTTAAAATAAAATTAGTGCTGATGAGCTGAAACATTTTCTAAAAGCAAATGACACTTGCATGTTAATTCAGAGGAGCTGCAGACTAGCAATCAAGTTAGAAGTTTGATATTCCAGATTGACGAAGAACTGCAATTGGAAGAGAGGCAAATGCTTTATTATTATATAACAAGAAATGTTAATAACAGAGAGACAAATTTAACTATTGAGTTACAACAGCAACTCAAAATTAAGTATAGATGAAAATTATATAAAACTACATTATGTTTTCTTGAAATAAATAATATCTTTTTGTATTGATATGAAAATGGACTTCTATTTTATAGTGGTGCATATAAAATGTTAGATTACAAGACTGCTTCTACTATATTGTTTCTATTGAAGAGAAATTTGGAGAAATAATGTTTGTCTTCAAGTGAAATCATTTATAATGGCTGAAAGCAATTTTGTATTGATTTTCAGAAACACAAGTTATTATCACTTGGAAAATAAAAAACTGTAGTATGCATTTTTTAATCCTATATACTAGCAAAAAACTTAACCCATACTTTAACATGAATTTTAGTAATCCTTATTAAATAAAATATTAATTTATCAATTAAGTATCACTAATATGTGTGTGTGTTTATGCACACACATATGAAAAGGGATGGCAGAACAATGAAAAAGAGGAATGGTAACAGGTCAAAAGTTACTTAGAGCAATAAAAGATAGGATGTTGTAGAGAGCCATGACTAACCTATGTTCTGAAGAGACATTACACATAAAAGAAAATTCTTTCTAAGAAAACATCAAAGATGCTTACCAGCAGGGATCTTTGACAATGTCTTTTACATTCAGATAAGAACAAATTTATTTCTACAGCTAAAAACATTCCAATTATAAAAGGATTGAAATGTATAATCCATCAAATTGTAAGGAAAAAGAACATGCAACTTAGAATTGAATTGTTTTTTACATTCAATTATTATTGGAAATACCTCAGTTGTATAAATTCAGAAATAGATTAATTTCAGGAGACATAGGAAATGAAAGATTTGCTTACATTTTGCTCAAATAAATTTTGAAAGCTATCATTTTAGTTTTAGCATTATTGTATGTAGGAGCTCTAACTTTTTAATTAAGAGGCTAGGTTTATCATACACTAAAAATCACTACATTAATTCATAACAACAATAATTAATTCCTGAATACATTCAATGGATTTTTTTTTAAGTTTGATATGACCTCTTTAAATATTTATTTATTTATTTTCCATAAAATTATTGTTATTCTTTTTCTTTGCTTTTTAATCTTCTTTTTAGTATAAATGATATTTTCTCTGGAAACATTTATAAATGAAAATATATGTTACTGTATTACTAAGGGAAATATATGAAACACGTTAAAAGTATTTTCATTGCTGTTGACAAGGGTGTCATCTTCCAGCACAAAGCATTTTTCAAAAACACATACAAATTCATCTTCACTCTCAATATCAACATTTTTTTAAAGAGACAATGAAATCAGCAAATGAATAAAGCAAATCATTTTCAGAATATTTAACAAATATTCTCTTCTGTCATCACACAACAAATTTTTTTATTAAGTCATGCTGTCTATATAAATGCCAATAAAAGAAATAAAAATACTTACTGACATAAAATTATGAAAGAAATGGGAGAAGCTATTATCTCTGCCAATATAATGATTATATCTTAAAATAAACAAATTCAACATAAAGTATATAAAACCAATAATAAAGAATAAAATTTCAATAACTAGAAATTATCTAACTGAAAACAATATCTATTTGTATAATGGGCAACAACAATTTTCTTTTTTTAGATGTCATATAAATATTTACAATGAGAAATGCTCTAGTATATATAAGTATAATTTTTTAAAAGTGTTATACATATGCATTACATTAATAGATAATTTTCTTAGATTAATTTTTTTATACTATTGTTCACATAATACAAGGCTCAAGAGCTACTTATGGCAGGTGTTTACTGAATGAAGTTGTTGTATAGAGAAGTAAGAAGTGCAGATTATGAGGATTTGTTGACCCTAGACTTGAAAAGGTTAAGATTGCAGTGATCAGGGAAGCATCCTCTTGGGAGTCTATTCCACAAAGTAACAGTTCTTGGAAAGAACCTGTCTGAGATCAACTTCTTCTTTACCAATGGAAAAACGAAAGGAATAAGGAAATTCAAACCTGTGTACATCACATGGCACATCCTAGCAGTAAAGGTCTGAACTTAAATTGAGTTCATATTTTAAGTAGGAATTATAATAAAGTGAAAGTAATTTTATTATAATTCCTACTTAAAATATGAACTTAATTTTTATGATTCGTATTTACTAATATAAAAATAATATTCTTATAACTATTATTAACAGTAAGAGACACTGTCCATTGCCTTATTTGATACAGATCCTATCACTAGATACAATATATAGACTTTAACATGAATTCATTGTGCAAAATTCCTATAGTAACACATATTTATACATGGAGAAGTGTCTTATCATTTAATTAACACAGTACTTGTTAAAAATGATAAGAATATTTACATATTGTCCAGCACTTCAACTTCAGATTAAATTACAACATCCTGGCTCTTTGCTTGAGGATAGATAGGTAAGTTTAGGTATCCTGCTTTTACCGTAGCTAAATCAGTCATAAAATTACTTCCTCTTCTACTAAAAATATCTTTAAAATCTTTTTTTAATTTTCATTACTTGCTAATTATAACTGTTTTTTAGGCCAAGCACTAGTAAGAACTTTATTCAATATTCGTGATTTTTCTTGTGTTCAAATTTGAATCAAAAGAAATTTATTGAATTTAATCAAATCTGAAAGTTCTGATTTGATGTTAAGGTTATTTTATTCCTGACAAGAGATTTTATCTTTAAATTTAAACTATATAAATTGTGAAAACATTCTCCATTTTTAAAGTTCATCTAACTTTCCTTCAATGAAGAGTAAATATAGCATGAACAAAACAATTTAGAGATGTTATGCATAAATATTATATAAGTGCTTTAGGTCAATTTCAATATATATATATTATATATATATATATATATGTTATATGGTATCTACATTCCCCTCTAGACAACACCTGGATAACATTTTCCAATATTCTTCAAGCAATTCAATTTTATATATATATATATATATATATATATATATATATATATATATATATATATATATCAAAATAGACAGAAATTCCCTGATCATGAGGACACATTCTAGGGTATCCAGTAAGGATTGAACTCATTATTGATGTTTACAAAGCTTATCTAAGCATAGCACAAAAAGGATGTGATAAGAGGTTAATTTTTAAAGTAGAGAGTGCCAAACTGCTTTAAAAATCAGTGTAGAAAAACTTGAATTTTTAACTTAGCTCAAACACTAACCACTGGTTATAGTTGGAAATATATAACTACAGAACTCATCAAGCATATTAATATGTTAATTACTGCATTAAGAAAAGATGTTTAAGATCACTGCCAAATCTTCATTGATCTCTTTTTCTTCTCTCCTGCTTGTATTTTGAATGACGTTTTTTGGTTATTACATTTCTTCAAGTAAGCCTACTACTACTTGCATGCATAAATTATACTAGTATATATAATAAAATATCTAAAATAAAACTAATTTTATTTTTTAAATTGGATAGTAAAGAAATTAGATAAGCTCTGAAAAGGAAAAAAAATGAGTCTGAATCAATCAATTTTCTAGGACAATGATGTGATAATCGCTGCTTATGGTGAGGGGGGGTGGAGTCATCTTACATTTAATTCAACTTTGTTTTCTTTTTGATTGATAAATTATTACTAACCCAAATAGACAATACTTCCCTCTGTACTAATGCCAATATGACAGGTAATATAGAACTTCAATTCTAGCATGTTTGTTTATGCCAAAAATTAAAAAAAAAAAAACATTCTGGAATTGATAAACTTTTAGATACAGATTAATAAAACAGAAATGTCAATCAATATGACATTATAATGGAGTCAAAAATTGCCAAATATTCTTAAAGGAGCAATTTTATGGTTGGATTTTTAGCAGAAATTAATTGACTCTTATACATTTTTAATTGAATTAACAATTAATTGGATTTTTAGTGAAAGTAACTATAAAAAAAAAGGATTTGCTCTCTTGCAAGATCAATGCACTGGATACATCAAAAGATCCTCTTTGCTGAAGTTAGAATTCAACAAGTATAAAAATATTTTTATCAGAAAGTACTTGACACAAATTCCTGAAAAAGAATTTACATTTAAACAGACTGAATTATAACAAATAAAGTAAAAATAATGGTTCAATGATATTATTGTGTAAATGTTTCAGTGACAGATTTTTCAAAGGCTCAAAAGCTGAAGTAAACAAATAAAAATCAAAGCAAAGAAACTAATAAAATTTATTGATCATGAATTATTGTTTTTTGGCATATTGCTGATATTTCACACATTTTCAAGCAATAAAGGTTCAAAGTGCAAAAATGGATTCCACCAAATAGGCAGATTTTATTAGATCTAGTTTAATGTCAGTATTATCAGCTATTAATTTTTTATGTTAAACTTTAATGAATAACTTATAAATAATTATTTAGATAATAAAGAAAAATACTTACATGATGAGTTAACTTGTATAAATACAAGCAAAAGGAAAGATAATACACTATTGCTTATCCTTGGTAACATGGCTGAGCCACTTCTGCCCTACTATAAGGCCGCTATCATCCTGAAATACAGAATAGAGAATAACATTAAATTTACATGTTCAATAATATAGACACATAATATCAGCATTATAATTTGAAATCAACACAAATGCAATGATCATTTTAGCTATTACTTTAATTCTTTCATTCTCACAAACTTGATTTATGAATATGCTAAGAATTTGCGAGTAATAATTATATAAATTATGTTTTTCCTTAGCCAATCCCTTTTCCTCATAGAAATTCACAAAGATAGATTTAATAATACAATATGGCATTGAAAAAGTAATATTTGAGTAAAAATTTTTAAAAGATGAATTCAATGAGAAAATGAAATTAACACAATAGCATTGCAGTTGGGATTTAGTTTCTGATCCATTGAATATATGTCTATTTTTTGCCATCCCAGCTGACAGTGTTTACATCACTGTCATTGATATTTAAAAATGAAAAGAAAAAACAAATCTTTTTCATATAATTGTAATTCCATTGCCTTTTCTGTAAATCTCGTAATTTAAATCAATCATTTTGAAAATGATGAAAATTTCACTTTAAACAGTGTTATTGATGTAAGTAGCAACAACCTTGAAATGGGATAGCTTTCTATATTAATACAATAAGATTCATTTTTTTAAAGAATCAAACCATTGTATACAATTGAATAAAGATAAAATATATATAATATAGAGTAGGCAAAGGCTTGACTACAATCTCCAAAATAAACAGTAAGTGGTGAATATGCGTTTCATTGTAATATTCACGATTGATGTAAGTCCAAAGTATTGGTTAAGTTAATTCTAAGGTCAAAGGTGACATTTTAAGAGACTATTTCTATTTGGGGATTTCATTAAACCAAACCTTTCTGAGTGACAAATTCTAGGATTTTCCATTTTTAAAAAAAGCTATTGACTCATAAATTACTTTATTTTACACTTAAATAATACTAATGAATCTATTTTTCACAAAAAATATTTGATACTGTAAATTTTATAAGTACACAAAAAGTATCATGAACATAGTTTTTACACCACTGTTACTCTAAGTCCTAGATGTTTGTTTCGAATTGAAAATCTATCTACTTTATACCAAAAGCATTAATGCTACAAGGTTTATTAAAGGATCCACAACAACTATTTCTAGAAACTCTTTGTACAAGGAGGTTCTAAAATGGCCCAACCAAAAAGGGATTAAAAAAAATTCTGATGTGTGGTTCACTTAGGGAAGTGAGTTATGCCAAGACTATCAAACTATTCCTTATAATTTCAATTTCTTTAAATATATTTTCTCTATCATTTTTCCATGGTATTGCCATTAAACCTACTTTAAACCTGAACCTCATCTCACATTTGGTAGAACATGGGCACACTGAAAAATATGTATCATATGAACATCGGTTGACTATCAGAACTATTAAAAAGATGATTTGTTTTGTTGTAAAGAGCAATATAATTATTAATAAAGAATCAATTTTTCTAATTTTCTTAACAGTAGTTTCAATTCTATTATAAACAAAAAGTAAAACTTGTATAAGTTTATATAAAAATGTTACAAAATCAGTCATTATATATTGGTTTTTATTAAGTTATAAAAGCATTTTCACAAGTTTTGACACAAGACCACATTTCAAGAACATCTAATGAGAATCAAACTGTGATAAACACCATATCTGTCATTGTACCATGAGTGGATTTATGATATAGATTTATATTAAATAATTCTGGCATGTGTTTTTAACATAATTTACTACATAGCAGATTACATAATGACACAGTTTTTATTGCATTAGTTGCTTCTTTCACTTTTCTTTTGTAAGTATAGTAGATTGTCAGAAAATTAAAATAAAGAAAAGATTAATAGTTCATCTAAAAAAAAAAAATGTAAAAGAAATTACTTCATTAATCTGAATTTTGTTAATCAATTCAAATGCAGAACTATTCCGTTTTATGAATGAGTAGTACGAATGGCTGCTGAAAGTTCATTGAACAAGACCCAAATAGCCTTTTAAAAGTTTGATGTTAGGTTATTTGGTCAGATTTTAGGAAATGGTTCAGGCTGTGAACTTTTCAGCAACCCTATATATATATATATATATATATATATATATATATATATATTGATTGTTTTGACAAATTTTTCAGGCTTTTGTTTAATCTATTTTAGCCTACAAAAGATGCGAATATATTTATTTTCTCTGATTAAATAGCATGTTTTCATTAAGATTATTCAAAGTGTTTATGGTTTCTCTATAATAATGATTATAATTTTGGTTGGTTAAGCAAAAATGAAAATCTCTAACTGATAGTTCTCATCCTTTAGAGATTTTCATTTTTGCCAAGGTAACCAAAATTATTATTATAAAAACCTGTCAATAATGATTATTTTTTATTTTTTTATTAGTATTTCTTTCGTCTTAATTTTAGCGGTTTCTTATTGTAACTTTGAATCCATAGCTATTAGTAAATATTACAGATTGGAAACAAATAAGCTCTAAATGAGATTTAAACTTGTGTCCTTTTTCTTTGTTTTTCTATAACAGTTACTCTAAAAGAGCTTTACATACATAAAGACTGGAGATCAACCTGTCATAATTATAATATTATTTTTACTTTTCATTAGATAATGCATTGTCAACCTTCATTAATTTTTTTGGTAGTATTTCTTTCATCATATTTGCTTCAGAAAGTATTAGTAGTCATAGTAATAATATTATAAAAGGTAAGTTTTATTGGTTAAATCTGATTTTCTGCCTTCTCTAAAGTTTTTGTAGGTCAAGAAGTAATGCAGTTGTTATGGGTAAAAAAGCTTCCCAAGGAAATGATTGTTTGTTTGGCAGCATATCAACTCCTTATGGGTCATTTAATGCCAAAATTTAATTTTCTTGGGAGCATTAATAATTTCTTTTGCAAAAATGTATTGCTGCTATTATTTTTTTAACAAAAATGTATTGATTCATTAGATAAATAAGGATTATAAAATTCCGATAATAATCCCTTGGTGATGAACTGAAAAGCAAAATGTAAACAAAATTAACCTTGCTATGTGAATATTAAATTCAAGTCATCTGTGTTGTTACATATGAAAAAAGGAAGCTTGGCCTACAGAAAACTTGAGATAAAATAATATGGTGGTCTAAACAAGCCAGACATGATGAGAATTTCCTGCTGTATCTTGTCTTTTACCCCACTCCATTCTCCTTGTCTCAACTGATTTATAATTTTGATAGCAGTATTTTTAAAAACATTATAGGATGTGGGTTCATGTGTAAAATATGCTGGTAGGTCTGAGAAAATCTAAAAGGAAGTTGCACATCTTAGGAGAAATTAAATAGTAATACTGAATGTGGATATGAGTTCTGAATTGTCCAAATAAATCAAATAAGAAATAACAAGAGCAGACACATTATAATATGGATTTTGACCTAGCTGAAAGATATAATATCTGCATTGCCTAAACTAGTTTACAAGATTCAAAGAATCAATTTTCTTTCTGAATTACATCCAAACAAAGGAGGAAAGAGTTTAAAAATGTATTTTGAATGCAAAAACCAACAACCCAAATGTTTGATTTAAAACTTCCATTCAGCAGAGCCAACCAAATAAATGTCACTTGCACAGAGGCAACAAGTAAATGCTGCTTGTGCAGAGGTAAGAATGATATGTCACTTGTGCAGAGGCAAGAATGATATGTCGCTTGTGCAGAGGCAAGAATGATATGTTGCTCATGCAGAGGCAACAATGATATGTCGCTCATGCAGAGGCAACAATGATATGTCGCTCATGCAGAGGCAAGAATGATATGTCACTTGTGCAGAGGCAACAAGTAAATGTCACTTGTGTAGAGAAAAAAATGATATGGCACTTGTGTAAGGCAAGAATGATATGTCGCATGTGCAGAGGCAACAAGTAAATGTCATTTGTGTACAGGCAAGAACAAAATTTTACTTTTTTCTTTTTTACTTATTTTACCCCAAGCAAGGCAATAAAGCCACTGAGATACAAGAGGTTACTGAAAGTGCAAGACTTTGAGAAAAACATTATTAAGAAGAGACAGAATTAAAGAGGCAGAAAGTGACAACTGACATAGCACTTAAATTTTTGAAGATCAAATTTGACTGGAAATCAAGAAGCCAGAAGAAAATTCCACAATCAAGTGTGGAAAGAGAAACTGTTAATATAGAATATGATAACATCTAGCAATTTCAAATGTAAAATGATGAAACCTAGCTGCCAAACTAGTAATGTGGTTAAATTCATAAAATTGAGGAAAGATCAAAAACAATTACCATTGAAATATTTAGAGTAAAGGCACAGGGAAGTTATGTTATAGCTGAAGCTGCGATGGCTAGCCTGTTCAGATTATATTGCAAATTTCTCTTTATATTTTGCCAAGAATTTATAGATACATAACAAAGCACACCAGACTAGATGTGGCAGCAACATTCACTGCATGGATTAATGATAGACTGATAAAATTATAAGATAGATTCTGGCAAGAAAAATTGTCTCAAACACAGTGAAACAAATTTCCAAGCAGTAGATCTAGCAATTGAATCAATAATAATCATTCTACTTCATGTCAGTGGAAAATATTAGCCTGAGAAGGTGCAATGAGTCACTCTCTTGGAGGTTAGCATCAGCCATGCTGATGGAAGGAAAAAATAAGGTTATCTAAGATGATTAAAATAGAGTAGTTTCATTTTGGAGCCATTAAAATTAATGAGCCATTTATTTCCCCAGTTAACAACAGATTGAAGGTCACTTTTTATATTAGCTGCCAATTTGACCTCATTGAACCAATCAAACTTACCATTGAGACAAGTGTAAATAGTTGTGTCATCAGCATAGATAACAAGTTGAGAACTAATGACCTCAGGAAGGTCATTGATGAAAATTAGAAATAAAGTAGGTTTAAAGATAGAACCTGCATTAATTTAAAATTAGACCTAGAAAAGTGGCCATTCAAAATAACTTTCATTTTGTG